CAACTGATCGATGGAAATGTCATTTTTTGAATTCTCAAACGACTCACAAAATGTTTAATTCCAGTAAAAAGTAAATAGTTTTAGGGGAGAAGCGATATACGATAGATCTCAAGATCGATTACTCGGTTTTTATCGCAAATCGTTTTTTTTTCGAAACTCGAATTTCTGTGCTACGCGGTGCATTTCGTATTCGAGTCGAACTCTCCAATATCAACTTGTGTTTGTTTTCAATTGAGCTTCCAAAGTGAGGATTTTGAAGTGAAAACCTCGTTGTTCTTTCGAGATAATGAAAGTAAGTTTTAACGGTAAGAGAAAAAATGATTCGATCGACTGTTCCTGCCGTCTTTTGAAGTTTTTGCTATATGTAAATATAAATTTGAAACCTATTCTTTGTCACATATTTAAATATAAACTTAAATTAATATATCTACATCTAAATTTAATTGATTTAGTTTAATTTTCAATTGGTAAAAGTTTTGAAGAATTTTAAGAGGTTACGTGGTGTTAACTATGTACATGGTTTTTTTCAAATCATTTTATATGTGGTTCATATATTTGTAAATTTTATATGTTATTTTGTAAAATCCATACTTCTTTCATATTGTCAGGAAGAAGATCGTAACGTTTTGAAGAAAACGAAACGAAAGAGAATCACTTAGTATTTCGATTCTTTGTATTTCCTCGCTTAGCACGAGAGCATTCCTAACAATTAATAAAGGGGTTATATCTCGAAAGGATTTTGTTTATTCGTGTCTTCAATAAGTAACTAGATACTGTCACTATCGTTGAAAAACTATAACTGTATTTTGTTCAATCAAGCAAGTATAAAATCAGTATGAAAGTTGTTGCAGGACAAAAAAAACAATATCTCTTTCGAGGTTTTTTTTATTTAAAAATGGTTAAAAGAAAATCTGTATCTGTATTGAGTAAAGTGAAAGCGAGACATAATTCTCATCTTAGAAGGAAGATCGTTACACGTATATTAGTCGACCATGGCGCATTTTACTTTTAGTTATGGGTGCTATTCAAATATTTTTACATTCAAGACGTTCCATTACTATTGAAGCGCGATCTAAATATAACCTAGTTTTATAAGGTGATAATTTGACTACCACAAACGACAAGAATGTAGTTGACAATGAAATATCTGCTACTGTTTCTGTATCTCTTTCAACATTAGAGCAAACTGGTAAGTTTATTAGTAAACGGTCATTGATGCATGAAGTATTGTCTGAGGTTGGTAAAATCAATATAAATCCAAAACAAGAAAAAAAATAAATCAAGACAAAATATTTCAAAGAAATTGATTTAGAAATAAATACCACAATGATATATGTTTTCGACAAAAAATCATTGTCAATGTAGCTCTTAACGTTCGAAACAAGTATCATAATAATAAGGAATTTGTTAAGAATCATAACACAATAAGATCATGACCCATTTGAAGGTGACTACAGTTCAATAGTCGCATACTAGTGGGCAAAATACAGACTCAAAAGTTTCTAGATACTGGGGCGTAGCATTATCTGTAGCCATACGAGAATGTGGCATCTCTTTATTAACAGAAATCTATTTGTAAATGCACTAACTACTGTTTTAGGGAACTATTAGATTTAGTTTCATTTTATTCTGTTCTATTCTGATAAAAGGGCAAATATACGAAAGCATCGGAATCTCGTTTGCTTTGTTTTACTACGTCGTGTTTTGTAAATTGTACTCAGACGAAAGAAATAATATTTTTCTGAAGACTATAAAAATCTATCCAATCATTTAAAAACTTAATTAAATAATCGTCATTAACTTAGATTAAAAACTAGTAAAACAATGAGCGATAAATGGTACATTTTAATCGAATACTGATGATTATTAATCTAATGAATTATACTGTGTAGTTTTTTTTAATAGAAAATAATTGATTATACATTGTCATTTTCAAGTAATCAACTAGTTTTTGTTTATTCTATAGATTGTTTTTATATGGGGAGCACTTTTTACAAACAATTTTTGTCGCCCATTGATTTTACTATGTCGGAGAAAATGAAGCTGATAATTCAGTATGTTTTGTAGGGAAACTTGATTCTGACAAAAATACAATTCACCTAAAACATTTCATTTTCAATATTGCTAATCATTTATTTCTCAAAGAATAGTTATAAGCTCTTGCATCTGTACGACGATTTGAGGTAAATATGATTCATCCTCTCAAAAGATTTTAGTAAAAACTGATGCACATATATTTTGTGTCGATAACTTATTTCACTGTGACTGTACGAAATGGATTCATTTTCTATGGAAGTCTCGAAAAAACTATTTCTTTTATCTTTCTATATACATACAAAGGTATTTCGTTCGTAAAATATTTGATCAAGGATACTCGAACATATCGTTTAAAACAAAGTTTTTAAATTTTTAACGGCAAGATAGACTCTTTGTTGAGCAAATTTGTTTCATTTAAATATGAAATTCTTTCAAAAAGATGTCCTTATTTAATGGAACAACAATCTTTACTATTTTAATGATTTTTATAACTTAGCAATAGTTTTATATTTCGTATTTCAATTTTTTTTAAAGGTTACATATATCTGTTTTTAGAAAAATCCAAAAACGGATTATCTGTTTCGACATGTGACTGATGATGGATCGAAAATGGCCTATTCGCTCCATTGAACATCTTTCAACAAATCTTAATCTATCGAATCTTCAAACAGTATACTTGTATTTTCAGTATGAGTGTAAGTTCGATACGAGCCTAAATGTCGAGATGGATACTCTATTCAAACAAACATGGAATCTTCGTTCAATTAAAATAAGTTGTAATGGTTCTGAGAGAATGAAATTGATAACTCTCAATGTTATCTGTTTGAAATAATCTCGTTATATCAAACATCTTGATACTCATATCACGTATGTGGACGACGCCATATTGATATTCGAGCGAACCGAACATTTATCAAATATTAGATTTCGATTCCTCTATGACGGAGATAATTTTGCGAATAAGATCATTAGATGCTTCTCGCGCATACTTATACGAAAGTAATCCTTCCGAGTGTACGTGAAGTCAAGAGCCACAGCCACATCTATCCACACTCACACAAGAGTCGTGCAGGGTAAGCTTTTTTCGTACCGCCGTCCTTCCCTCTCCTATAAATTTTGTTTCATAAATTCTACCGTATCGTTAGATTTCTATATTTTGCTAGATGTCAAAAGAAAGATTTTTCACTATGTTTCAGCATATTCTACTGATTTTCAACGATTATTAAACACAAAATTATCACATACTTATCAAGTTTCGTAAAAATGTAATAACATTAACAATGACATCGTTTAAATTTTGTTTTCTTGTTTTCAAAATTCATCTACTTGCACTAAAAATATTTTCACTTGTGGCTAAACCAGCCGGAATTCCTAATAGCCTTTTCCAATATGTTAGGTTATGTATAGTTCAATAAACATTGGTCTCACTAGTTCAATACTGATTCTTTACCGAAACTTTATTTCGTCTGAATATAAACACTGACTTCTTCTAAACGAGAGATATCAGAAACGTCTTCGTAGTTGCTTGCCAAAAAGACTTTTACCAATATAAACAACATCCTAATTCTATCCGGAATATTTGCTGTACCATTCTTACTCTATCCTATTCTGCAGGGTAGGATAGGGTTGGATAGGGTTACCTTATAGAACTCTAACACCCTATCCACTCCCTCCCAGTCAAAAAAAAGTATTGGTCTCGGGATCGGGGCCATGTTGCTCATGTCTAATTATAATGATTGTACTAAGGCTCATAAATATTTTGTCTACTTTACCGCCACTTACTCTACTCAATTGTCATTGGTTCTCATGTAAACAATGTCCGTCAATGCAATATATTATCAAATAGAAGTATGTGATTATTTCATAAAATCAAAATTTATTTTAAATTCTTTTTCTATGAAAGATATTATCGAACTACTCGACTTACCAGATGAAATGATCTTGAACATAATGAACAAAGTCAAACCTCAAGCATTATTGTTTTGTTCTGTTATTAATATTGGAAATAATCGTTTGGAACGTCTTGCTCTTGATAAATGTCATTCAATTGATCTAAGTTTTGATTATCAATTTAATTCTCATGAATTACTTCTCAAACGATTTTATATAGATGTTTTGCCTCATATTTATAATAATATTCAATCATTGACAATCAATATAAAACATTTCTTCCCTATTCATGCTGCTCTCCAAGCAATGCCTGATAAACTTCTTCCAAATTTAAGACATTTGAAAATATTAAAAGGTCGTCGTCATCGTTATACTGGAACACCTTTCACAATAGGTAAGTGATTATTTATCTCGATTTCTAAGCGCATAGAATTAAGTAATAATGAGGATTGCTCATCAAAACTCTAAATAGGCAACGAATTTTAGGCTTGGTCTGTTTAGTTTTTTCGTCGATAGGAAATTTATGTCTAGAAAATATATTTACTTGAGCTAGTTTTCAAGAGTGACATTTATATATAAAAACGTTGACTGATCTTCACAGACAGACCATACTTGAAAAAAGTCAGTCTATTTCGATCTCTGTTTCTCATCTATGCCGATACTAAAATGGACATGTTGTGAAATAGAGAGAAGGCTCTCTCTCCTTTTTCTTAACTTAATTTGAAACTTTCGGGAAGGCAACGTTTTACACACAAACCTGTTTTATTTAAACTAGAGAGTTTATAATAAGGATATCCAAGTTACATTCAACTAAAAACAGAACATAATTATTAAACTTCCCCACCCCACAATAAAAAGTCATGGGTATTTCAACAGCTGTTTTTGAAAATCCAGCGAGGTTTTGAGTAAAATAAACAAATTTGTGTTATTAAGTCTTTTTTCTAGTAAAAAACCTTACTTTCGGCGACTTCGTTGCTTCAAAAGGCTGTTTGAATAGCGGAAAAAATTTTCAAAAATCCTACACCTAGGTAAATGGCAGCAAAAAGCTAGTCCGTAATAGAAGAACACAGGTTTTTTATTGAGAAAGGTTACATGAAATGTATTCTCTGAAAACTATTAGATCTTTCACTCTGTATTTTACTTTATTTTATATAACTCATACTTATCTGTTGAATAATTACTATATTTCACCATAAAAAAGAATCTAATACTTTGCATCCCTCGTCATAATAAAAAAGAGTAACATAAAATATAAAAAATTGTTTCGTATCTCATTCATATATATATATATAATTTAGGTATTCATTACGACCTTGACACACATGATTGGCCTCTTTTCTCAACTGTACCTCAATCTGTTCATATGGAAGTTCAACTCATTGATTCAGTGTTATTATTCATCCGCTGGTCACCACTTATGCATTCTATCAAATCTTTTGAATTTGATCATGATGTTGTGCTAGTAGTGCCTGTCAATAATGATAAATTATTCTTTGCTAAATCATCTTATCTTACTCATGTATCTATCACATTACTTGAATTATCTGATTGTGTTCGTTTACTGAATGAACTAGGTTCCCAATTACATTCATTTATTGTGAGCATTATGCACGTTTGTCTAGACGATGAAGATATCATATCTGAAATCGAAGCAGTAAGTTCTATGTCTTTATTTTGTATTTTGTTTCATTTATTTCATTTAGATATATTGTTACAACTTAAAAGAATTAAAAATGACAATGTATCGTAATATTATAAACTATGAACAACTTATTATTCCTCTGCTACAACATTTATCAAGTGTCGAACATTTAACATTATTATTAGCCATTTATATAAATGAATCTGATCGGTTTATTGATGGTTTTCATTTAGAAAGAAATATTGTTTCATATATGCCTCATTTACGTCAATTTAATTTTCATATTCGTTCAATATTACAAGATTCTTCTTATATCGAAGTTGATACAATTCGTCAAAGTTTTATCAACCAACAGTCTGCTGATTGCACAATTGACTGTTTCAATAATCAATATAGTCAATGTCACATCTATTCACTTCCATTCATTGGCAATCGTCTTGATTTCATTTCAAATAGATTTCCACTCTTTGATATCAATAACACGTTCTCAATGGTCACCATCCTATTACTTTTCGATGATGTTCAACCATTCGAAAGTGATTTCTTTATACGTGTCTTTCGAGCTCTACCTCATCTTCGAACACTTGAAATATCAAATCAATTAGAACAAGAAGAGAAAACGAAAACAATAACTGATCCTATTGAATATTCTCACTTGTCTACACTTATTTTACATAGGATTCATATAGATTATGGCAAACAACTTCTTTGTCGAGCTCATCTTCCACATCTAGTGGAACTTGTTATTCGTAACGATGTATTATTAACAATAATCGATCAAGATAATCAACAAGCTAGAAATAATTGTTTAAATGTTGAAACACTTTTTATTGTCGAACCATGGATTGAACCGAGAAGTGTTCACTTAAAATTTTTTCCAAAACTTTATATGGAAAATTTGTAAGAAATCAGTCTGTTTATATTTGTAAATAAAATCTTCTTTGTCAAAATTAGAATACGAACTATTTTCGATAGCAGAAAACTCATTATATTTCCACGTACATCGAAATGAATTGTTCAACCAAAAAGCAATTCGATTTTTTATATTTATTCAATACAAATATTCTCTATAAGAATTTTATAGAACGATACTACAATATTCAAAATCTACGTAAGACAGACAGAAAATATTGAATACTTTGAATATTGAACACTTTCGTTAAATATGATCGAATAAATTATGAATTTAATGTGTTTCTTTTTCATTAAAAAATGTTTCTGTTTATTCTTAACAGAACAATATTCAAACTTTGACACTGAATTGTATTTGAAATTCGATACACTTATTTCAACAATATCAAAATTAATATAAGATCTTAGAAGTATTACAATAAAGAGTAGCAAAGTTGTATTAAGACATTTGACAAGTCCATCAATACACTCAATTGTATACGAGAGCATTGTTATATTAGTATAATAATCCTTTTTGAAAAGCATTTAAAAAGTTTTTTCAAAATATATATATAAAATCATATGCATATATGTTATTGTCAATTCAATTTGAGAAAACTTTCATATTACAGATAATAAATTATCTTATAATTCGAAATCAACTGTATTCGCAAAAAATAGAAATATTGATTATTGATCAAAGACATTAAGTATTTACACAATGGTTTTGATCTTATAAAGGTTAAAATATAACAATAATTTTTCATAGGATTATAAATAGATCGATTCATTGAAACTATATAAGCTTTTTTCTGTTAACATAAGGTCAATGAGAAAAACATTCGATGCAGGGTAGAAATAATATTATTCCAGGGCGGTATCGCTATGATTTCAAATAGTGTGACTAATGAATTCTACACCAAATAAAAGCTCGTGAAAAATAGGATTTAGGAGTATAAATGACCATTCATTAAATGAGAATGGACTATAGAATTATGAAACTTTTCAAATTTTCGAAACATTGGATATTTTCATGACTAGCCAACTACTCAAACATAAGGTTTTCAAGAAATGTTTTTGCCTTTCCGACTTTGTAGAACTCTTTTCGTTGATTCTTTTTCGGTAAAAATAATTGAAATTTGTTCAATAAAGAGCATGTTAGAGTCAAAGTGCTGACACTCTTAAGCTGCTGTAGCTGATAGAGCTAAAATGTTAATGAATATTTTGACTCTAGCATGCCTATTAATTGATCGAATTAAAATTTTTTTCACCAAAATGGCCAGCGAAGAGAGCTCTACAAAGTCTGAAAGGTGAAAACATTTTCTGAGAGCCTTATGTCTCCAAAATTTGAAAATTTTCATAATTCTATAGTTCATTCTCATTTAATGAATGGTCATTTAAACTCCTAAATCCTATTTTCACGATCTTTCATTTGGTATAAAATTCATTAGTCACGCTATTTGAAATAATAGCAATACCGCCCTACAATAATATTATTCCCAACCCTGTAACTTGAAATTAATTTTTTGGCAAAAATAACATAACATATGATATGAAATATTACTCAAGAAAAACTTGCTTAGAAATAATTAAAAAAATTTCAAAAAAAGTCGAATAAATATTAATGTATAAGATAATGAAAAAGAGTTTTATTGAAAATGCATTTTTGAACAACTGCGATAGTAGATATCTTTTATTTTAACTCTTTGCTTCATTGATATAATTGGAAATTTGAATGTGATACTGTTCAACTAATTTGTTAAAATGACAACTGTACTATTGTGAGGATATAAAAAATAAAAAAACCTTTTTTTTTAAGACACAGCACAAAGAACTAAGAACATAAAATATGAATATATTTTTTAATTACTTATCATACACTAAATAGTGTGTTACAATAAAAAAGAGAAGAGAGAATCACACTAGCCGACGAATATTCACCTAATAAACAATAAAGAATGCCAGAAAAAGAAGCATACTTTTGATTAAGAACTTCATAGTTACACGTCTTGGTATGTTCCTTTTCAATATCAATCAGAACAATTGTTTGTCTTCTATTCTTAAATTCCATGTTCTTTGAAAATCGTTTTAACGGAACAAAATGCAAGAAAAACATTGAGTTAAATTGTAAGAAATAAGAGAATGCAAGTAGGAAAGAATGAGAAGAATAGACGTGACTATATGTTGAGACGCCTGAATGTTTTAAACAAAAATGAGATTTATCTGTGTTTGTTTCTGCACATATATATATAGCCTGAGCTTCTGATACAAATGTGTTGGTCTACGTGAGGTTTTCCTTTACCACGAAGAAAAAAATTTATAGCTGAAAACAATCAAGAACGATTAGAAACTCCAGAAAAGTTTCAAAGTAAGCAGCTATTGCAGAAGTTTCATATTTATTTCAGACAGACAGCTCCAAATTATAAAACATTTTCAAAATGTTGAGAAGATTGTTTCTTAGAATGATTTTTCCAATTATTTTTTAGATGCTTTTATATTATTGAGTATAACACCCTAGTTGAACATCTTGTAAGCAAAATCTTGCCAAAAATATAAAGTACAAAAATGTGAACGAATCTTCAAAAATTTAAGTACAAGATATTCACATTACCTTGTAACTAAGTCCAAAAACGATCATTAACATTCATTTATACATGACTCTAAATAATTGTAAAATATCCTATCTGATGTAAAATTTGATGCTGAATTTGAATCTGAAGTTAGATTTCAATTACAAACACAAGAAGCCAAACTAAAGCTTGATGTTTAATTCAAAAAACGTCCAAAATTGTGGCTCTTATGATGACCCTTGAAAGAAGATCATGTTTTCTTGAACATTTCGGCACAATCTAGTTTCAAGCAGTGACAAATTCATTTTTAAAAATACTGCTAAGTCAAGATCTTGGACAAGAAATCTCACGTGTTTATATCTTAATCGTATCAGATTCATGTGTACCAAAGATCTGTTCACATTTTTGTACCTTGTAATTTGACTAAGATCTTAGGTACAAGATAACATATCTTGCTTGAAGATGTTTCACTACGGCAATGCCTGAGAAATCGAATAATCTCAAAATCTTTTCGGCTTCTCCGCAGGTAACAAGCTGTTTTTTTCAGAAAAATATTTCACTGTGGCTGGCCACTATCATTTCTTCTCGTCATTTTCAAAACCAAATCAGATAGATTGACGTAGAATATATGAAAACTTACTTAAAAACTTTAAGTGAATACGCTCAGTTGTTTTATATCCCAGAATTTCAGTGTTCAACTTTAATCATCCTGGTTGATCGTTAGTCGGACAAGCCTTTTAATTATCTTAGTAAACGAAGAAGTTATTAGTGGTAGTTTGACGAGAACAACTTTTTAATGCGGTGCGAAGCATAGCATGGATCTTCTAATTATTTTTGTACATCGTTTAACGTTCTTTATTCTAATAAGAAAGAGTATACCTAGTTTGAACCGATAAAGTCTTTAAAGAGTCGTTCAGACTTAAGTATTACAAATCAAAGATCGAAAAAATGCAAAAATAGATAATAAGATGAAATAAAATAATTATCATGTATATAGATCTAGCAGGAAGAGAAGAATGGATGATTGTTCTATAAATAATTTAGTATATAATTCACGTAAAACACATAAATTTTATCAAAAATTCGACAGGTTTTTCAAGCTTCCAGTAAATACACTCACCATCATCATCAGCAAACAATAACAAGAACATAAAAAATAGAGAACAATTACATACATTTATATGTAACTGAATGATTAAAAAACTTAGTTTTTTGAACAAAGAGAAAATGCAGAAAAAATTTATTTGGATCTATGTTCACGTAATAGTTTTTTATATTTTGCTTTTTGTTATTGTTTCTTGATGATGATGGGCATGTTTACCAAAAGCTTGAAAGAAAATTTTCGAATTAGGATAGAATTCAAACGTGTTTTGTGTTATTTACATGCTTAATTATTCATTCAACTACCATTCATTCTCTTCTTCCTGTCGGATTTATATAAATGACATGTATTCACTTTTTTGTAACATTCACTTTAATGAATCTATGAACGAGGTTGACAACGCATAGCTATTCATTCTGGTCTCATTATCTATTTTTGTATTCTGTTTTTGTTGAAACTATTTATATGAATTAAAAGTATAAAATGTCCAGAAAGTCATTCATCAAAAAGAAAACTCTATATTTCGGTCGTAGTTCTGGGTGGGGGTGTGGGTGTGGGTGTGGGTGTGGGTGTGTGTGGGTGTGGGTGTGTGGGTGTGGGTGTGGGTGTGGGTGGGTGTGTGTGGGTGTGGGTGTGGGTGTGGGTTTTATATATTCACACCCACACTCACACCCTCAGCGTCCAAGTTGAAGCAGTATTGGCTATGACATGAGCTTTTCATTCCTATCAACAAAAAGCATCGATCTTCAGAAAATACAAAACAAAAAAAGTTATTTGAAAAGGGACAGAAAAAGATCCTCTAGAAACTCATTCAAACCAACCAATTAAAAACAAAGAATCTGCTGACAAACCTCGGAACGAAGCTTCAACTAATTTACAGAACGAACATGATTGGTTTCATCTAAAGCACTGATCCTCCGAGGAAGTGGCCTACACTAAAACAAATCCAATGACGCCATTCATTAAAGCTCATTGTCTTGTATTTGGCACAGAAATAGAACAATGACAATAGATTACGACCGAATCGAAAGTGAAATGTCTATATGCTGACTCTTTTCCACAGCTTTGTAGATGTATTTTGGGATAGTTGAAAATGTAGTAACAGTTATTGAAAATCTAATTATAATATTCAAAAGTGGCTCACCAATTTATATTTCAAACACAATTCGACAACGTAGGACATGTCATTCGGCACATCACTGCCAATTTTACTCTACGACTTCAAAGACTGGGGCAGCTTTTTCAGATTGTTCGACACAGACCTTGGGCTAAAGAAACTCCGAATATACCATTCCATAAAGCTCATCGAGTTTTACTTAGAACATAAATGGCACACTTGGA